TTGATTATTTATGGATTAAATTTATGTTGCTATTATTATAGGTTCACTCGTAATCAAATAAATAAATAATTTTTCAAAAATTAAAATGATATTTACGGCGTGCATAAGCATGCCGTAAAATGTTTTACAATTTTTGGCATGCATTTTTGCATGCCGTAAACGGTAGGCCACTTTTTACGGCGTGCATTTTTCCATGCTGTAAATAGTGGCCTACCGTTTACGGCGTACAGGTGCACGCTGTAAACACATTTACGGCGTTCTATAGACGGCGTACTCTGCACGCCGTAAAAGGTACACCACTCTTTACGGCATGGCTTTATATGGCGTGCGGCCGCACGCCGCAAAAAGTACATTTTGTTGTAATGAATTCAACTGAAAGGTATGTTTGATTTTAACGTTCATAATGACGAAATTCGTCGTTTGGGACCTAGATTCAGAGTATATTTAAGAGACTTTAAAAATGAAATTCTTTTCATTTTAGGAGTTGAATCTTGAAAGCAAGCTAACTCTTAACTTCTAAAATACAAGACGAATTTAAGGCAAACCCACTCTCTATTTGTATTATATAAAACTGCAAGTTTCAAAGCTCTTCTAAAAAAATTATTCATATTATACTGAATATTTTAGCTATTGAATTTAGAAGGATAAATATTAATTGAAAAATAATGAAGAAATAGCAAATAATTGTAAAAAAAAAAGTTTGTGGCCTAACGTCAAGAGCTGCTCGATCTCGATATGGAACAACTAAAAAGTTCATGCATAAACTCTTCTACCGACTTGGTCCGTTGACAAAAAGTTTTATGTAACTAGGCCGAGCTTTAGGTTAATGGTAAAATTTTGAAAGAAAATCAATCGGTTCGACTCTAGCTTAGACCGGGCAGGGGGTGGGTCAGCTGAATCAATCCAATCAATTGCTTTCACTCACGTTGAAGGGTTACAAGGACACTAAACTAATAGAGACATTCGACATTGATCGGGTCCAGGATCCAACCGTGCCGAAAGTAAGATAAAATGAACTATACATGGAGTTCTTAGCCATCTATATCGTAGGAGAGTAAGGCTTTGCCTCCTTCGGGACACATGGCTCTGTATGCTACTACGCTATCTAGCTTGCTTGAGTGTTATAGTGTATCAAAAATTTTATTCTTTAAATTTAAATACACACTCTATTATGATCAAGATTCCTTTTAAAAATAAGGAGTTCGCTGGAGATGCTTTCACATATTTTAATATGTTGGATTTTAGAAACTCGCCTTAGAAAATTGAGGACCATAACAACACTGGGTGGGTTGAGAGCCCACCCCATTTTCCTATAATTTTATTGAGATATAGTGCTTGTTTGGTAGAGATTTTTAGGGGAAAATTGATTTTTGAATAGTGATATGATGAGAAATGTATAGTTGAAAAAGAAGAAAAAATTATTGATGTGATGGAAAATATTATTTTATTAAAAAATGTGTAGTTGAAAATGAGAATTGATTTGAGAATCAATTC